AAGATAGTGTCCTGTTTGCCTATTTCTATCAGCATCTGCTCTGTAATACACAGAGAATGATAGAAGATCAAAGTTTTAATTATGCAAGTAAAAGAATGTATTAATAACATTCTTTCTGTCCTACAGCAGAGATAAACTTAAAAAAAACCCCTGTAACAGCTAGGGGAACAGGATATTTATATAAAGATGTCCTAACAAAAGAAAAGCATGCAAAACTACCTCTAGTGGATAAACAAACTAGGCTCCCTGTTTGCAGACTGTTCCCTATCAAGCTCAGCCCTCAGAGATCCCCTCCCTCCCTCAGTCAACAGGGTCAACATATTTCATCTGGGTTTCACATTTTTATACAAACCCTGCTGAGCATCCTTTGTTCTCCCACCCTTTAAATTTAGGAAAATGCAGCAGGTGTGCCTTGTAAGGCCCATTTTGCTGCTAGTTGCTTTAGGCTCCCTCTCCCAAGTACCAAGTCATGTAAGAAGGGAGTTGTTTGTTGGTCTTTTTTCTGCTCGCTCCTTCATCTGCATAGGCGGCACTGCTACCCTCCATATCCCTTTTGATACACACATTACAACAGGACACTAGTTCCACAGCATACATACAACAAACAGTACCTCCTCCTCAGGAGACATTACTACTTCTTGGCTTTCTGACATCGGGAAGAGCCTGAATTTGTTGCCCATTTGTTACACTGCTGCCAGACATTAATGCCACAGTATACTTTGAACTAGGTGTCCTTCTCCTCCACAACATACAGCACAGAGTGCTCTCTCCCTCCCAAGACAGCAGTAGCTGCCTTTGTCCACTCAAGGCTCTGACCTGCATACCCCAAAGGGGAAAAAAAACCAAAACCAAACACAAAACACACACCCAAACCAACCCAACTGTACTAACTTAAACTAGGACTCCCAAAAATAATGATCAGGCTATCTCAATGAAAGTAAGAGCAAAAGCATGCTGTACAAGAGTGGGTTCAGATTTATGAGTAGTGAGTATTCTTTCAAGGTCAGAGCTCTGAGATGAGCTCTGAAACAACATTGTCAAGTAAAGCATTACTACCCCCTCCACCTGAACAGAGGCCACCACCAGCAGAGAGCCTGAATTGTCTCAGAAAAGTCTACAAGGCAACACAGATGATAAACTTACTCATGGCTACCTGCAAAGGAGACACTGACACTTGAAAGCGATTCTCAGTCTCAGGACATCTGTGAATTATAAAGAGCCAGTCATTCTCCACCATCTTTGTCTTTAAGGAAGAGCTTAATATTAATTTTAGCTCCTTCTGAATCTACTTCTGGGCTAGGGCCCAGTCCATCTGCAATATTTTTAGAAGTGACAAATTAGATTAAAAACACACAGAACACCCACTCAGGACAACTCAGTTCTTCCAAACTACGGCAACACACAACAGAAGGGGCACTACAGTTAACTGTGGCACTGCTCGTGCGAAGCTGCACCCTGCATACAGACATGCAGAGGGTGAAGTAACTCATTGTACAGTGAGCTATTGTACACAGCGAAACTGGACAAGGCACTTCCTTTCCTTTTGTGTTGTCCTCTCATTCATAACAATGTCCTTTAAGACATCTGCTAGAGTCCTGTAACACTAATGGAAATGGAAAAGCTCCAGCGGGAACTCAGGGGCTTCTCCTTTTCCCATGAACTGAACATTATGGAATTTTAACAGATGTTCTACTTGGTCATAGTTAATAAAATGAATTATGCAGGAATTAAAAATCTGGCTCCATTTGCTTATATAAGATCTCAGCAGCAGAACTACATTCCCATTAAGAAATTCTAGAGGATTTACAGTGGATTTATAGTCTGCTCCTTGCCTTGTTATAAGATGGCTGGAGATTTTACAAATGAACTTGTCTCTGTGGTGGAAAACACGAATAAGTTTACCTGTTCATTGACTGTTCTTAGTAGCTTGATCCAGTTTCCATACCAATGCACACTGGTACACTACAACCATAGGAAAGGACAATTCTCACTTGGATTTGCTTTGGAAATGACATAATGGGAATTTCACACTGTTTCACAAACTCCAATTTCTGCCATTTACTCAAAGTCTCATTCAGCAAACTAATAACCATATTCCCACTTTGTGCTTTATCACAAGCATGGATGTCTCTTTCGGGTTACTACTGCCAACAGAATGAAGCACTGTCCCCCACTTCCCTTTTTATATTAGCATTAGCATTAGCTCAGTGTATCTACATGAAAGGAAGATGTCAAGACCAAAATGTAATGGAAATGTGAGAGAAGAGACACCAAAAAGGACGCTGGTGAAAGTGTCGTAACCAAAGCTTCCAAGCTTTGAGGCTCACTCAAAGTTCTTTTGAAAAGCTTTCCATATTTAGCCATTTTCTCTCTCTTCTAGTATTCATCTGTACAGAAAGTATTCTGATAAGAAGACAAAGGGGATAAGCGAAAGAGTGAGAATCAAAAAAGAAGGATGAAACAACTACCTTGCACCAGAACAGGAGCAGCACAGCAGCCAATGTAAATTACATGGAACAGAATAAGGTGGTCTTGAAAAGATCTACTATGCTTTAGTAAAAAGATGAGGTTTTAACATTGCACTCCTTCGATAAACAGATTCATTTGCACTTAAGTCTAAGCAGCTGCCAAGCAGAAATCTGTCCAGGCACTGAAACCTGCTTTATGTAATACGCAAAAACTTCTCCCGGTGCAAAAGCTAAAATTAACCTTTCTTAAATTCTGGCTCAAGAATTTTGTCAGTGCAAGAACATCATCATCTGAAAATCATCAATACTCCCAGCCTCTTCCAATTATTATTTTCTAAATGAAAAATCATGCATTGAAGTCCCTCTATCCAAAAATCCCACTCCACTGTAACTAAACAAAGGGGTTTCTGTAAGTACAGAACCAAAGCATGTAAAAAAAATACCATAGTCAGCTGGAATTAAGTATCAGGCCATATATGCTATGCAGGTACCTGGAAGTGCCCAATAATGAATTAAAATAGATTTTTATCTGAAAGTAAAGACCTTCCCTAAAAGAAGTGTACTTAAAGAGAAGGGAAAGTACTAAGATTAAATGCCAGGCTTGCAACAATTCCAGCTGAAGGTTCAATATGCTGTTCTTACTCAAGGGGACATTGCTTTACAATATTTACTGTCAGAAAAATGCAACGGTCTTAACAGTGTTAAATTCAAAGATTTTTTTTTTTTTAAACTTCACCTACGATTTGTTTCATTTTGAAGAGAAAGCACATTTCATTTAGTAATCATTTATTCCTCATTCTGTTGGACAGATTCTCCCAAAAAGCAATATTTCAACTGAAATCAGTTCTGAAGGATCTTTTATGAATAGACATAATGGAGAGGACCCCCATTATATTTCCAACAAAGTGCTGCCATTTTGAGTAAACAAAGTTATCTCAGCAGGGTCACACACTATGCCATGAATATGGTCTGCAAATTAATTACCACCCTGACATATGTCAAAACAAATTTTAAGGAGAATAGCACCCAGTAGTAACCATGTGTTTTATCTATCTGTTAGTATGCAAAATCTGTATTCAATGGGATCTAAATTTATTCATTTATTCAGAAACCCTCAGAGAAATCAAAATGATTCGTTGGCCTTTTTTGCCTGTCTCCAAATGAAATCTGAGTGAATAACGTGTTTAGTGAGCCAGAAAGTAAGTACAGGATGAAGCTACAGTGGAGGTCGCTTTTCAGAAAAGCGGGTGTCATCTCTGCACAAACAACTAATTTTTTAAACACTCAAAACTGCTAAAATAGACTGCAGTGCATTATCATTTTGTCAGCACATTCAGGAACACTAAATTTGCTATTTCTTATTTTAGGTAACATCCATGTTTATTCCATAATTGTAACAAGAGCTGGCTAACATAACTGTCCTAAAAACAGTTTTCAACATCAAGAAATGCTTTTAAAAGCAGAGCTATTGAACACAGGCTTAAAAAGCCTCTGGAACTGGCTTTATTATCAACGGCAACACAGCCAACAGATCTGATCTTGTGTTTAAACAACAAAAGCAGCAAAGATCCAAACCTAGTTTACTCAGTTGAGTTATGGAAGGAGCAGACAAACCCACACATATCACAGTGAACACAGTAAGTAAAGAACCCTCCCTGGACAATAGCTGTTATGTTTTCATAGCCACCTAGCCTCGTCTCTGAGGTACTCGTGGTGCAACTTCTGCTTTGTCAAAAGATGACCTCCTGGGATCCGATTCTGAAGCAGTTTTAGACTGGGAGTTCATCAGTATGTTTTTCTACTTCTTTTATAATCTGCCTTCAGTTCACACAGCATATCAAACACTTCCATGACACTAATCCTGTAATTCATCGTACGTTTATGAAGAGATTTTAGTTTAGGAACCATTTTCTGCCAAGCATGCAGAAATATTTTTAGCTCTATTTTTTTTTTCCCCCCAACAGTGAAGTACTTCTGATTGAGAGTTAAGTAATGCCATATCACATCTACAGACTGGATGACTAAATACACTTCTTTCACACATTAAAAAAAAAAAAAAAAGCACACAATCCTCCCCGTACACAGATGACAGATAATCTCTTGGCATCCGCTGACAAATATATTTAAAGAAAGCCTAAATCTGTCTGTGCCAAACTTGGCCTGATGCCACCAGTTCACCATTGTTGGCATACATACATCACATGATGCAATCACAAGACTCAAGGAAGTTTCCAGTACTTTATTTTATGGTTTTCATCATGTTACCGTACACATTTCCATCCTTTTACGATTTAGCAGTAACAGAACTGAGAGACAGGATGGTAGCTGACTTTTTGCATGTATCACGTGTTTTCTTAGTGCACATTATCAGCATTCTATTTAAATTGCAGACTAATAACTTACCTAGAATGAAATATGATAGGATTTAGAGCTTATAGTTAGAGCAATTGATCTCAATTGTACTACTATCTTTTGTTAGAAAACAAAGTAAGGCAAAGGAATCAATCAAAAAAAATTGAACAAGTGCTTTACCTCTCGTAATACTGTGCTTTTATAACCCCGATAAAGTCCTGGAATACCCTGTAAACCAACAAAAGAATGCATCAGCTATAGGGAATTAGCTTGCCAAAGACCACAATTTATTGGTGATTACCAGGCAAGCATTGCAGCCTTACAGAGCATCAGACCTGAACTTCTTGCAAATTGACTATATTGATTATAACATTATATACTGTATTCCACGATTTACAGTGCCAGAGGGTTCTATGTTCATTTCAAATATCATTTAACCACTGTTCAAAATCAGTTAGAGAAGAAAATATACCTTACAGTTAAAATAAAAAGGGCAAGAAGGCACAGGAACATATTACTTCAAACTCTACTTGCCCAACATTTTGGTCTAGAAGTATCCACTATCCCATAAATATTTTGAAACTACTACTCTTCTGTTTAAATAGCCCATGCAAAATGAACTTATAGGATGACAGCTTCCTATGTCCACCTTCTTAGCCTTGATTAAAAGCTTTCATCTAGACAAATGTTTTGTATTTTTAACCAGCTGATAACATTCAAAACAATTAAAAATTTTATAAATGTGTATAAAATTACATTTAATATCTTACAGGACAGTTTATTCCAGTGTTTGGCAGGTCTTACTGTTCTCTGGCCAGCTACAAAGAAGGACAAAACCAGATGGTTCTGAGAGCAGCAGCTTTTAGAGGAGAACGAGTAAGTCACAGAAAGAAGTTCCAGCAATCCTCTTGTGCAGGGTGATCACAACAGTTTTCATTTACAAGCAAATAAAAATCAAGTGGATCATTTAAAGGTCATATTTATGTCTTCCTTTTCCTGGCTTTTGCACATGGCAATGTGTATAACATTTTTCCCCACAATGTCTTCAGGCGCCAATTTCTCCTGTGGAATACAACTTGGAAAACGCCCCTTGTGAGACTCAATAGAAACAGCAGTGAACAGGTTTTTACAGGAAGCAACAGTACAACTACTGAAAAGATGACAAAAGCCCTCATTTGTCAGAAGTTACCAATACCGGATGAACACTGATTTCCAGAGCTCCTACAGAGCCTCTCTGAAATGGCACTTTTAGGACACCCCCTCGAAAGGCTGCTTCAAAGAGCAGAAGCCATTCAGCAAACTCCAGACACAGAGACTCGATGTTCTCTTGTCCCAGACAAGGATTGTTTGCATAAATACAGGCAGAGCTTGGGAAACTGGAAAAATAAATCCCATTTTGGGGGGTTTTGGGGGTTGTTTGGGTTTTTTTTTTTTTTTTTTTTTTTTTAATGTAGGTACCTCATAGAAAAAGAGGAGGAAAAAAAAGGAGTTGTTTAGTGTGTGCATGTGCATGGGGGAGGTAGGGGTTTGGTTTCCTTAAGCATAACACATCAATTGCTTTGAACAACAGAAGAATAGATGGGAAAGTGCTGGGAGAGCACAGAACTGGAATACATTTGTAAGAATGCTTCTGGACATGCATGGCACTGGGCGAGAAGAGTGAAGCAACTTCCCTGAAATTTTGCTCTGAACCCACCTCATGATACAAGGTGTGGGAGAGGATCCGGAGGGTACTCGAGGAAGGAGAAACCTGGGCCCTTTGCTTGACCACCTCAGATGGAACCCGTATGAGGCATGCAACCTGCAAAAGAACCATACATTCAGAGAGCAATTCCTTTTGCTGCTTTACTCTTCACATAGCAGACACACTTAGAGATTGTTCCAAGTACAGAAACCTGAGAAACAAGGAAATATTTTTTGCAGTTATATGAGTTCAACTTAAAAGCTGTTTATGAGCAGCTTACATATTTGGTCTGAGAGCCCTGTACTTCCTGAACACAAAATTGTATTAACAGAAAAACGGAAGTACTCTTGAAATTTTCACCTTTCAAACCAGGTGGGGAAAATCACTGATGAAACCAAAATTTTGAAGCCTTCCTGTCTTTTCGAAGCCACAGGAATTTCCCCACCACCACCACTTTCACAGATCTGAACTAGAGGTTCAGGACTTGAAGAGCAAACTTCTTTCCTAGGTAGTTCCTTTGTGCCCTCTAGTGACTGACAGCAAGAGACACTCCAGTGAGCTTCAGAAACACACAATATGTTCAAGGTTTACCTTAAAATACACACTGGATTTCATTCAAGGTGAAGCATCGGATTGATTCTTTCCTATACAATGAATTTACCAGGCAAGCAAGGCCCCTGCAGCTGGATGTAATGTGGCTGCCACCACAAAGCTCCAGCTTTTCTGAAAAAGCCAGAGCTGGCTTTAAAACACTCACCTGCTGCTTCAGCTTCAGGTGGGAGTGAAGCCTGCACACACATAATTTTGGGGAATGAGGATCCTGAAGCGTCAGAGAGTTACAACCCTCTCATCTCTCTAGAAAATGCCTGTTTATCAGCACTTAAACTTTTAAGAAGAGTTTGCCTTCAGTTGTCCCCCAGGGATAACCGGTGGCAAAACACTGGAGACATCATGGGCCTTTGCCAGATTTTTAGCCTTCCTCAATCCCATCCTATGCTGGACTCAGGAACACACTGTGGTTCCCAGATGTGAAGGTCATCACTGAGTACTTCAAGTCAAGAGCAACCTAGGTGGAAGCTGTCCAACTGAAGTGGCAAACCAAGCTGCTAACTCAGAAATCCACCAAGAAAGAAAGTTCAAATGCCAAAGAAAGTTCAGGAATTCACTGCCAGATTACAGAGACAGTAACTTCAGTGGTCATTTGTGGGTATTACGGTACAGGGTTTAAGTTCCATTTTCACAAAGAGACCAAGAAAAAGTCTGTTATCCTGTTACATTCCTATGAGTTTACCAGACAACAATATCCAAAAGTCATTACAAACAGATCTAACTCCATGTGCTCTTCAATTCTTAGGGTCAAAAATAACAAGTGACCTCAATCTGTCAAGAAAATAAGAATTGTCAAGTTTTTTGATAGTTCAGCATAAATATTTATAGAACTTCATGCTTCATAACACTCCATGTCCTTATATTAGTTTTTTATTCCTTAAAAATACAGAGGCAGGAAGAGAGCTTTAAAAAGGCTCGGATGAAAACAACCTAGTCAATCAAGACCAGACAAAGAGCACAGCATGGCTTCCTGACATCTGGGGTGCTGCAGTTTTGGCAGGAGAAGGGTGGCTACAAAGTAATGTCTCCATTTCCCCAGGACTACTTGGGGTGCATTTCATTTCAAATTAACTTTGATGTGTCTCCCATTTGAATTTGCGCTTACAAGGGAATCTGTGGCTGCACAAGAACAAAAACAGTGATTACACCGTGCTGTTATGAAAGGAAATAAAGGCCGGTGTCACCCGGGCAGCGCTGTCAGAGTGGCTGCGCAGGGCACTTCTGGTACTAAAAAAGCCACAAACTGCAACTGCCAACATCAGACTGAACAGTGATATTTTCACTGCACACCTGAACTTACAACGCGCTACCTTATTTGTTCCTACATGCGTTCCTTACTATCAATAACAATCTGAACAGTCTTTTGATGTCAAACCCGAGTCTCTAAAGGGAAGTACGCGAGGTTAAGTTCACACATATCTTAGTAGACCACAAAGATAAAAAAAAGTAACAACCTGGGACAGAAAAATCTCAAACTTACTATGCTCAGATCTCAATCACTGCAGCGCCTTCCAGGTAACACTGCCAAAGTTAAAAGGACACAATGCACATCTCCACGGTGCTTTCTTAGCTAAATATGTTCAAGCAGCACCAGTAAGGGAACACCGCACCAAGAGAATTCACACTTAATTTTCAGACATCAAAAAGCTATAAGCAAATTGCACAAGCAAGAGTGAAACATATAATTGTGGCTGCTCCGCAGTAACTGTCTGCATACGGGCTTTTACCTGCTTCGACTACTAGATAAATAGATGTGGAAGACAGACAATAACATGACCTCTCACGTGGGAGCTCATTCACCTCCCTAATCACCAATATCCCAGGAAGAAATTGCTTTTTAATCTCTTGGCTGTTCACATAGATACAGCCTGTTGCTTGCCACAGAAGAGCACAATGCAGCCCGCCAAACTCAGGCCACTCCTGATGCATCCTACTGGGTTTGGGGATGACCCTGTGACAAATTAGCTCTGTCGAACATCTGCAGAGCCAACCATGGAGAGGGCACAGCAGTGGGCCCTCAGCTACCTCAGCCAGCATCAAGGCATCAGACAACGGCACACTGTTGAGAGGGGCCACGCTCATTTTTTCAAGCAAAGTCTGGAGCCAGGAGTTATTCCCATCTTTTGATGGGAGCAGAAAGACAGAATCAAGATCCTACAGACCAAGTTCAGGGGAAAAATGTGTACTGCCCCTTAAGTTCCCTCCTTATTTCCCAGGTCAGGAAATATAATTCTGCACTTTTCAGACTCTCCCCGCCATGTCAGTGCACGTGTATACATATCCTAAGGGCAGGAAGACAGTAACACTGAAACAAAAGGCTCAAGGATTTTTAGATTTAAGCTTTAACAAAACATGATTTTACAGCTACAAGCAAAGCCATTATTAGTTTACTGAGCAGGTATGCAGAAATGACAATATTAGCATCTATTATGTTTCTAGACTTTTAATACTATAACCACTTCTGAACAAGAGAGTACTGAATTTCAAAATCTTTGTCTTAAATCATTACCAGGTCAAAAGGTGACTCCAGCATTTAGATGCAAACCTAAGTGTATTTTTAATTTACTGACTTGCATTTGCCAGTTAGGGACAAAAGCTAAAAATAGGACTTTCTTGTTAACATTTATCTATGTATTGCTAAGACGGTATATCTTCCCATCAAATGAAGGGGTTTTTTTCCTCTGTCAGTTCAAGGAAAAGTGTTCCAATTTTTGGGTAGTATTTGCGTGCATCAATGCTGCCATCTCCTGGTCGGATTCATGTTGAACCAGGCTTTCCTGGTTGCTCTGACCCATGTCTCTCGACTGATCACAAAAAACGACCAGTGCAATTAAACTCTCCAAAGTGCCTTCAAGTCAATACAAAGCCTCCTGATATATACCAACTTAAACAGATTTTTCAGTGTGTCTGAAACCTGTTCCTATGTGGCTGTAGCTAACAGAAAACAAGATCTGCTGCAAATAGCACTAGGAACCTGCACAAAGCCTTTGCATGGGCTCACCTGAGCTTACTGGAAACACCTTATCTTAAAGCACAAACTTTTGCTTCGGGGCCAAGTCTACTTAAAGCTGGAGCAGCTGTTCAGAATTAGGCAGCACTCATCTAATTCATCAGCACAAGGCTACCAAGCATTTTTCTCTAGACAATGACACAAGACACTTGATTAAAAAAAAGAATGAAGAGGGGATAGCCCTGCTTACAAAGGGGTTCAGTGCAAGCTAGTTATCCAGGCCTTCATGATTCAATAGCCAGGGAAGTGCAAAAGCCGCAAGATATACACTTGAGCTCACTGCTCAACCAGGGAAACCAGCAGCAAACACAGCCTACCATGAAAATGGCTGAAGAAAACTCCCAACCAAAAGGAGATTTATTTCTTTTTAATGATTTTGTGGTTAACGTGACAAAGAATCTGAAGTAGCCGGTTGGACTAGAAAAAACCCATTGCACTGCCACTGCAAATTCTGCAGTAAGCACTTATCTGTAAGCCACCATGACACCACTTCTAGTTCACTAGCAGGTCCCTGCTCCTCTATCCAATACACTCTGTTCTTTACGCAAAGCCAGACCTAAGACAATGACAACACCTTTAGAAAAGAGCACAGCTCCTCTTGGTCTTCAGAGCTATATTATCATCCAAATATTAGCATATCCCATTTAGATTAACAGGCTTTTGCTTCCACCCTTTGTGCTCCAGGCTAACCATTTTATACATGACTGGTTTTGTAGGATTCAGCAGAGAATCAAAGACAACAGGCATTTGTTTTGAGGCACCTAAACAACAGTTTGACCACTAACCTTGCAGGCATGATCGGTGCACAAGACATATGCAGAAACACTTGAAAGCAGAGAGAGCAGGTGTTACAGTTGCTATTAAGGGCTTATGCTGGGTATTTAAATTGGGTTGATGCATGGCAAGTTTTTCTCAGAACTGGGGACACAGCTGGTACAACACTATTAGCAGCTTTGTACCTCTAAGGAGAGCAGCTTGAGAAGGCATTTCCTTACGCAGCCTGGCATGCACCCTGCACAGCTGATGATCTGACTCACACTCTTAAAAGCTCCCACAACCATATGGTCTGAATACTTCTTGTCTTTAATAAGAGACAGGTATTATCCATGCTCTTAAGACAGACTATTGAATGGCAAAGACTAAGAGCCCATTCTGTGAAGATGCTGACACCCGATGTGCTTCTGGCTAGCAAACGGATCTATTCTCTGCACTAACCTGGGCTTGGGTGAGGATCAAGACCAATTTTTTTCCACTTAGTAATTAGCCAGCCATTCTGCTACAAGGCAGAAGAGTAGTCTGAGGACAGAGAACTGTTCTGGAGTACATTAGTGGCTGGTGATTTAGGAACGTGTACTCAGTGACTGAGCAAATGGCTGGCTTGCATAGCTAAGCCTACTTTGAAAATTGGGTACAGAAACATGCAGTAAACTCCAGAAAGTTTTCTGTGTGGCAGCTTTCCCTTTAAAACACTTTCTAAAGTATTTTAAATTTCCCAAGC